CACGTAAGAGAGGGAGAGCAAGCGTGCGCGTGAGGGAGAGCAAGCGTGCGCGTGAGGGAGAGCAAGCGTGATCATGAGGGAGAGCAAGCGTGCGCGTGAGGGAGAGCAAGCGTGCGCGTGAGAGAGAGCAAGCGTGCGCGTGAGGGAGAGCAAGCGTGCGCGTGAGGGAGAGCAAGCGTGCGCGTGAGGGAGAGCAAGCGTGCGCGTGATCATGAGGGAGAGCAAGCGTGCGCGTGAGGGAGAGCAAGCGTGCGCGTGAGAGAGAGCAAGCGTGCGCGTGAGGGAGAGCAAGCGTGCGCGTGATCATGAGGGAGAGCAAGCGTGCGCGTGAGGGAGAGCTAGCGTGCGCGTGAGGGAGAGCAAGCGTGCGCGTGAGGGAGAGCATGATGTATATTGCTTCACACACGGGAGTTAGGAAACATGTATTTGGATGACTCAACCAATCACAGCTCGATTTTGTGACTTGCGTACGTGCGTGCGTGAGTACGTACGTGCGTGCGGGGGCGGGGGGCGTGCGTGCGTACGTGCATGCGTGCGGGGGGCGTGCGTACGTACGCGTGTACGGATGGGCGGACCTCTGGGCGGGTGGGCGGTAGTGTGTGCGTCCGAGCTTGCGTGCGAGTAAGTGCGGTACGTGTGCATGCGTGTGCGCGCGCGTGTATAGATACATAATACAGCGCAAAATACAGTCTCAAAACACAGCGCGCTAAATATGTGTCCGACTATAGGGAAACATGGTAAATTTCGACGACCTCCTGCGTATCTGCGAATTGCAGAGCGCCATCTTTTTCGTACGGCCGACAGCGATATGCACATAATATAGTGCTGGACATAGTCTCCGGTCGACGATTTTACCGCCCGCACTTGTTATAATTATGATATCTACCGCTCTTTTTAGCTGGGGGCGCCACCATCCAATAGGAAATGACATGTTGAATTCTGACCTCGTAGCGCCATCTAGTGGGATTGGCCTTCAGAAACATTGATATTACACAAATATTTTACTTTCTACTAATACTAATTTTCTTTTAATGCATAATTGCAATAATGCGTAATTTGTAAATCATCACCAATTAAGTCGTGGTAACCAACTTTACAGACAGGTGGTCGCACCAGAGAGATAGTTTCGCTACATAACCGCTACTTAATTTAAGGGAAAGACCAAAATTCCCATTGAAGGTCTCCATTCTATGTTATAAATATCGTTATTTAATGACGTTTATTCAACGTGAATCGGCCAATGTGTGCCGAGTGTTTTATGCTTCGAAATAATCTTTCTATTGCAATGTGGCAGGTAGGGAGAATTTAAATTGCTTCAACGTGACCAGTCTCTCTGACTTAATATCGGCGGCATAGCGGGGAACCCATGGGGTGATGCTGCGAGCAAAGTGAATATCATGGACCGGATTTTACAAAGCACACGTGCTATCAGTCTGCCCGGCTTCGGGTTGAAAGTAAAAAAAGAACGGCCGAAGAAAATTATCTTGGCAGTCAACCGCGACCGACGTCGGAGCGTCATTTTCATTATGTACATTAACACTGCCTACCTACTCTAAATAGCTTTCCAGTTAATTACGTTTCTGCAACTGGAGCGTGGCTTTACAGCGCCGCACTTCTTCGAGGCACCCCCAGACTGTCTCAAAACACAGCGCGCCAAATGTGTGTCTAACTATATAATATATAGTTAGACACATATTTGGCGCGCTGTGTTTTGAGACTGTATTATGCGCTGTAATATGTATCTATACACGCGCGCGCACACGCATGCACACGTACCACTCTGAAGAATACTGCATAATATAGCTTGCTGAAAGAAAGAGAGAGAGGGGTGGTAGATTGAGGTAAGGCCACAGGGAAGATAGCTGAGAGCGGTAAAAGAAGAAGGAGGTTGAGCGAAGGACAGGTGAGGCAAGGGGTAGGACGGGAGGGGGAGCAGTTTGCATGTTGCACTCTACAAGCTAGGGCGCTCTGCCAATCATAAACACAGGGCTGATGATAACAATTTATTACATAAATCTTTGCCAGCAGATGGCACTTGCTAAATATCGTCTACTGACCAAGGAGCTGGATGGGCAAGGCGCTAGATATATCTAGCTCACTGCTGCACTGCCTATATTGAACCAATATCTGCCTATATTGATCCAATATTGGCCTGGTGATATTGGCCCAATATTGTTTTGCCAATATTGGTCAGATATCAGCTTGACGTGATGCGGCCATGATGCCGAGACACGCCGAGGATTGACACTTTGTGTCTTCTAATCACAGCCTACGTCGCACCAGTGTTTTATATTTTTAAATATGGGGACTTATGACCACCAAATCGCCGACGCCCGATTCATGCCCATCAACGAAGAAGGCGGGGCTTATTTTGATTGCGGAAATGCGAAAATGCAACAGAAGGATGCAGCGCAGTGCGCTAAACAGCGTGTTATTTTCGTATTTGTGCCAAACTCTATCGTAGGAAACCGTTCTAGCCTAGCAGAATGCCCTAGTTCCTGAGGTCAACGACGTGACCCGTTACTGCGTGTAGGTGTTTGGCGAGACTGTGCTTTTTGTAAATAATGAAAGGCCCGGCCGATGCATTTCGCACCGAAGTGGAAAAATTTGGCATTTTTACTTGCTTTCGAAAGTGAACGAGTGCGTCATTCATTGAACATTGAAGTTTTTCTTAAAATTAAATATTTCCGAAAATCCCTAACCGCGCTACTCGATTGTTTTAGCCCAATGAACGTAGCTGTGGCACCCGGCAGATAGGTGCGATATGATATGCCTACTAGGCACTTAGGATATGACTACTAGGCACTTAAAAAAAAAACCTAACCCTAAAAAAAAAAATTTAATTTAATTAAAGTGCCTAGTAGTCCTATCATATCGCACCTTTCTGCCTTCTGCGTAGCTGTGTGTGTGACGTCTTGCCCGCGCGCTTTATGCTTGGCTTAGCGGGCCTCGAAATGGATATCGGAGGCACGCACCTCGTGCAAGCTTGTGCGTGAGGGAGAGCAAGCGTGCGCGTGATCATGAGGGAGAGCAAGCGTGCGCGTGATCATGAGGGAGAGCAAGCGTGCGCGTGATCATGAGGGAGAGCAAGCGTGCGCATGATCATGAGGGAGAGCAAGCGTGCGCGTGATCATGAGGGAGAGCAAGCGTGCGCGTGATCATGAGGGAGAGCAAGCGTGCGCGTGATCATGAGGGAGAGCAAGCGTGCGCGTGAGGGAGAGCAAGCGTGCGCGTGAGGGAGAGCAAGCGTGCGCGTGATCATGAGGGAGAGCAAGCGTGCGCGTGATCATGAGGGAGAGCAAGCGTGCGCGTGAGGGAGAGCAAGCGTGCGCGTGAGGGAGAACAAGCGCACGCGTGAGGTAGAGCAAGCGTGCGCGTGAGTGAGAGCAAGCGTGCGCGTGAGTGAGAGCAAGCGTGCGCGTGAGT